ATATAATTCATTTTATGTTTTGCACAATATTTCTATGAATTGCCATAACTTTAAGATCATAATCAGAAAGCATTGCAACGAATAAATTATTTGTCAACAATATTGTAAAGAATAAATTGAAAAATTTTTTTGTGACATAACATACCATTAATGGTCTGGTGTTCACTAAAGTAACCGTTGAATTCAAACCATCATCTGTTAAATAAAAAGCATATATTTTATTAGTGATTAAAACATATTTTTCATGTAAAGGCAACGAAATGTGTTCATAAGTATAGGGATATGAATTTTTGAGCTTATTATTGATAGACATGTTTTCAATTTAGTGGGAAATAATTTATTTTCTCAAAAAACAAAAGTTTTCAAACGCTTTATAAATGGATTGATACAAAATATAAATTACAGTAAATAGTAAATTAGAGAATATTTAACTAAAAGTACTCATAACTTATTATGCAGTACATAATAAAGTCAATTTGGTATCACATCTTAAATATTCACATTTAATTAAAACCATAATTCAAGCCTATTAGTCAGAAAATTAAATTAATTTTTATTTTGTTTCTCCGTTTATGTTTAGATGACTTGTGATGTAATTTAAAAGTTATTCTCAAAAATAGTTTAATTAATAAATTCTTTTTTAAAACAATAAAATTCTCGCAAAAACCCACTGTTTTTCGAGCTATTAATTAAAGCCTATTATTACAACGATTGGCCTGTTTTGTGATTATAGTGTAATTGTGTTGAACTACAAATCCCAAAGACATTCTGCTATTTATTAAATGAGTTTAAATTTTTTGTGTTGAGTCAGCGCTTAATTACTTTGAAGTTTTATGATATCGTAAATATAGATACTGAAAAAATCTCACAATTTTGATTTATAAATCATTTTTGGTTCAGTCCAACAGAAACACAAAAACATCTCTTAATTGAAGTTTTATTAAAATTAATTTTCTTCACCGGGACTAAGACACCGGTACAATAGATTTATGTTATCAAATTAGTGTCAGAAAACATATGGTTAGAGTCATCAAAGATTTTTGCGATCACTATTCATATGATAAAAATAGGTTTTATTACAAGAAGTGCACTCAATTGTGGCCAAAGGAGTGAACAACAAATCATTTTCTCAATTTCACAGATACTATGCCATACATCAAAACATCAATACATTTTAGGCAACAAATATTATATATCATATAAACTGCTTAAATTGTATATTACAGTACTAAAGGGACTGGTATGTTTCCTTTGAAATTTACAAAGGATTTCACTAAAATTTAATACAATTAATAAATTATGCAAATTTTAAGGCATTTCCATTAATATGGGTTTTTCTCTAAACTTAAATGACTATAATATGTAAAAATGCGACAATTCTTATCATTTGATTATCATTTCACTTGAATTGTACGGTATTTTTAGAATCAATGAAAAGCAAATTTCTAGCAAAACATAAAAACATAATCATTTCCTATACGTGTTTGAAAATTGTTTAAATTCGTTGCTTAGAAATTGATTTGAAAATTTTAAACTATATTTTTAGTACAAAAACAGATACAATAGAGTAGTTGACAGAGAATGGACTCAAAGTGGAGATCAGATGAAAGTAACTAAAGATGTATTGCAAGTGGAGTACAGTATGTGTTGGTAACAGATATACACTTAACAGTTAAACGATGCGAATGCCATCAAATCGGTCGACAAAATGACTTAAATTACAGAATAATAGAGACTGAGAGGGAAGAGTAGCCCTAATATGACGAGTGTTTCAAAATAGACTCACATATTATATAAAGACTAAACAAATACCAGAATCTCATACATTTGGGACGACTCGAGCGGAATCGGGAAACTAATTGTCAAAATGGACACAAAGTTATTGACTTTTAAATATCATTTCAAATTGATGGCCACTGTGTATCACAATTCAATTATTTCACTTTGTTTTTTGTTTTTCTAACTATAAAACAAAAATTTATCGTCAAATTAGATTATAATTTGTTTATTATATCTCTCTATTCGTCGATTCGTTTTGATAATAGCTTTTATGGACACAAAACATAGCGAATAACTATTTAATCCAATTATTAGGCACCCATTGAAATCCCCAGCAATGAAAGTCACAGTTTTCACTCACTTATAAAAAACTATAATTTGAGCACAAATTTGTAAAATCATGTTAACATTGGTGACTCACTACACCGTCGGTCGGGCATAAACTGTAGGCGTGTTATCAAATTGAAATACTATTTTTTATAATTATTATATTAGTAAAAATTTTATATTATAGGATGTATTCATTTCAAAACAGATATCATATCGTTAAACAAATTTTTTAATTTATGACTTATATTTCTGTCCATACAATAAAGTATTGTCTTAAGAATTGACATTGACAATTTTGCACTAGTATTATAAGTACTGAGCATATGTTTATAGGATTTGTTGCTAATATATTTAAGTGTTTTTTGATTAAGATTTATATAAAAAGTTTATTCAATATAAATATTCCTAATATAGAAATAACTAGATTACGTTATAATAAAAGTGAATGGTAGTAATGAAATTGTATCAATTTATGGATATATATCCTTAAAAATATAATTTGTCGCAAAAATCACAAACAAAAAGGAAATGATGGTATTATACCGTATATATAGTTATATAAGTTATCATATATTAATAAAACAATAAACTGATAGTTAAAATGTATTACATATAAGTTAAGACTGGAATGCATTGTGTTATACAATGGGATATAAAGTCCATAATCCTATGGGTGCTAATCAAACATTTGAAGGCATGTTAAGTGATTAAAACATTTTGATAAGTTAAGCGAAGAAAAAATCTTAGACACAAGCATTTTAATGACATATCTATTAATAGGATTTCAATTGAATGTTATAAAAATCAAATACAATAATAGATATGAGATGTGGCGCTAAGTGATAAAGACATACCTCCTAATGGTATCGCAAACCGTGGGGTTTAGGACCCAACGCCGTGGTAATGAAACTTTGATAACACAAACATTCATAGAGATTTTGAACACAACATATGAGAAACGCTTTTGAAAAGAGTTGCGGAATATATAAAACTCATGTCTATTACGATATGTTTCGGAGTCCTTATTCCCAATCGCAGTGTTTTCTATCGTTACGCATGTCTTATATTCACCTAATTTTATCGCAAACTCCAAGACTCGCGGCACAAATTGCCATAAATTATTGACACCACTGAGAGGGCACACCATTGGCGCTATTTTCGTGTACGTCTATCGATCCGACAAATTATACCCCAAATTAGTACCAATTCATCGATTCATTAATTAAGAAGACATTATCTATTAGTCTATTATTAATTGAAATTGATTTTTAAAAAACAAATCCTCTATTCCTGTCATCCTATTTGACACGATATCGTGACCACAACTCACTCAATGACAACATTTCTCACTGATTTCAACTCAAAGACACATCTATTTGAATGAAATTAATTACTTTAGACTTAATTAAACATTTCTCCAAAAGTTAATAAGACATATAAATCATCATTTTGTTATAAATGAATATTTAATTTCAAAATATACAATTTCCAACTTTTGGAGACTTTCAAACGTAGTTATGAAACTATGTAGACAGTCATAAATTAAACAAAACTTATACTATTCAAGAATTACTTTATTTACAATAAATTTGCAAAAACAACTTTATTTAAATAATTTATACAATTTTCAAATCATAGTCTATTTTAAGAAAAAACTTATTATTTAAACTAATATTACTTGGAATTGAAATTATATTCCTAATAAACAAATTCATAATAAATTTTTATATTCATCTGTTAAGCGAATGTTTGAGAAATGAAATTATATATAAAAAACAATAATTAAAGTTAAGCTCTGAATTGCATTGTCATTAGTAAAGGGTATTTAAAGGACAAATTATCCAAGTGTTATATAATTGAATTGCAAACTCGGAGCAAACATTTTGCACTTAAACTCAATTAGATTTGAGTCTCACTCACACATCGAGACTAAAGCAATGCTTTCTTAACTCACTTTTAAGTAATTAATTTATTGTGCGTTAGAGTGACTGCTTCAGCCAAATGGCACTACTTTTTCATTGTTATTATTATTATTAAAACTTTTTTTCTTTAATCCAATCGCTAACCAAAACATCATTTATTTATCGTATTTATTATCTTTTAAATATCTATTAAACTCGAGTTTGTTTTTAATGTTTTTATGGCTTATTGTGCAATCATTTATTATATTAATTGCCATTTAATAAAAATAATTGTTTTTATAATAAATTTATTTTAAAAATATTAATAAACCCCATTTTAAATTATATAAACTAATAAACTATAAATTTTATGACTATTTTAATATCGAAATCAAAAATTTTGATTTAAAGTACGATAACATAAAAATAAACTTATTTTGCAAACAATTAATTTGAATTGGAGTTTAGAAAAGTTGTATGTTTGGAAATATAATTTGACTCCATTTAAGCGAAATTAAAATAAAAAACACATAAAATTTCCTAATTTAAACCAAAACTTTGCGTTCATATGATTAGACTAATATAGACTCGCTTTCAAAATCTCAAATATATATTATTCTTACAATAATTTATGACTTTTCTCCGCAAATAAACCAGAATTCAATACATTTCTAACACGACATCCCTTTCCAAAAATATAATCTCCATATTAAAAGTGTCATAAAAGTTGTGAATTATTTGAAACAAAAGCAATATATAAAAAAAAATTAAAGAATAAAATAGTTTAGAAATCTTAGAAAACAGAATATTCTGTGAAAAGTGAATGCATTGCAGGCATAGAGTGGATGAGTGGACACAACAGACAACACGCCATCTCTTATGGAGGCGTGAAGTGAAGGATTGAATGCAAAACACGTGACAATCAGTGAATGCATTGAATGTTGTTTTCAGTGAATCAATGCTCGGATCAGTTGCCACAAGACATAAGACATGCAGGTCTCCGAAGTGAATGACATCAAGATCTATAACCTAAGTCACGGGAAAACAATCCCCGAATGGCTGTCCGACCGGAAGAAGCGACTGTTGCTGAAGAAAGACGTGGATCTGAGACGACGGATACAACTGATCCAAGACTTAGAGATGCCGGCCGTGAGTCACGGGATCCAAGTGTCAGGCGATGGTCAGTACGTGATAGCGACGGGTGTGTATAAGCCTCGGGTGCGATGCTATGACGTGAACCAACTGGCCATGAAGTTTGAGCGCTGTTTCGACGAAGAAGTGGTCAAATTCAATGTCTTGTCGGAGGACTACACGAAACTGGTCTTCCTCTTCGTCGACCGATATGTTGAACTCCACTCACAGTTTGGGCGATACTATCGCATCCGAATCCCTCACTTCGGAAGGGATATGACATATAACACCAGTTCCTGTGATCTATACTTTGTGGGCGATTCCAGTCAAGTGTATCGTCTGAACCTCGAAGTCGGCTCTTTTCTCAAGCCATTCGACACGACGTGTATATCGTTCAACACCTGTGCTCTCAATCCACACCACAATCTGTTTGTCTGCGGTTCGCACGAAGGAATGGTCGAAGCGTTTGATCCGAGATCTAAATCACGAGTCGCTGTCTTAGACTGTGGACTCAATTCAGTGACTACTGAGACGAGCGTTGAGGGCATGCCTTCTGTCACTCACATCGCCTTTAAGGACGCCCTCCATATGGCTGTGGGGACGGCCACCGGACAGGTCCTCATGTATGACATCAGAGCCAACAAACCGTACTTCGTTAAGGACCACAGGTATGGACTGCCCATCAAAGACATTGAATTCATCGACGGACTCGACTTAATCGCATCAATGGATTCAAAGATCATAAAGATATGGAACCGACAGACAGGAGAGCCCTATACTGCCATTCAGGCGGACTCGGACTTCAATGACATATGCATTGTCCCGAACACAGGGATGATGTTTGTGGCCAATGAGGCGCCCAAAATACTCTCGTATTATATGCCGAGTATAGGACCGGCGCCCAAATGGTGTGCTTTTCTCGACAGAATCACCGAAGAGTTGGAGGAGTCGACTGAGAACACCATTTATGACGACTACAAGTTTGTCACCCAAAAAGAGTTGGAAGAGTTGGGGTTAACGCAACTCATGGGAACCAATCTATTGCGGGCTTATATGCACGGCTTCTTCCTCGACATCCGACTCTATCATAAAGCGAAGGCCTCTTCCAATCCGTTTGCATACGAAGAGTACCGCAAAAAGAAGATCAAAGAGAAGATGGAGTCCGAGAGAGGGGATCGGGTGGTTGTGAAGAGCTCTCTGCCTAAAGTGAACTCAGAATTGGCTCAACGATTGGCAGAAGAATCGCAAAATAAGACGTCGAAGAGCTCTAAGAAATCTAAACCCGATTTGTTAAGTGACGACAGATTTAAAGACATTTTCTCGAATCCCGACTTTGAGATCAATGAACAGAGCGATGAGTATAAACTACTGCATCCTGTGGTCAATAAGTTGTCTAAACCTCAGACAAAGTCTTCGGAGGAATCGAAGGCTAAATATATTCATAATTTTGAAGAGATTGGAAGCGACGAAGACATGAAAGGGTCGAGTGATTCGGACTCTGAATCGGAGGGAGAGTCGGAAAGTGAGAGCTCTGATGACAATCACAATTGGACTGAAGAAGTGAAGCAAAACTATCGCCAAATGATGAGAGACGGCAATAGGAGCGAAGAGAGCACCAGTCGGCCCGCGAACGCAAAGTTTTATCAATTAAAAGCCGACAAAACATTTGCTAATATTAATGATATGAACACTAATTCTGCGAGAAATGCATCGAAAGCCAGTTTTGAGGAGAGGCTCAAGAA